TATTATTATTACTAAAAATATTAGCTAGATTATTTAATTGAAAATATTTTTTTAGATTAAATCGTGAATTTGTTGTGTTAACTAATGTATCATTTGGTTCATTGATTAACTTATCAATAGTATAGCCTACCAGTGCTGTAATACGTGTATCATTTAGTATACGTATGGCCACTTGTTTAGCTACCTGTGCTACTAGTATTGTTGATGATAAATTATTATTATTATTAACACTACATAAATTGACCATGGTAATACTTAATAAATCAACCATATATTCAATATCACTTAACAATAGATTAGATTTAAATAATTGTTTCGATATTTTTGCTGATAATTTTAGAAATTTTTTATCCAGGAAAATTTTCTTAACTATAATTTTAATAATATCTAATCGTTGTTGTTGTTTTAAATTATCAACATTATTATTATTATTATTAATATTATCAAATTGTCTAATTGTACTTGATGTTTTCTGTCGTATAATATCTAATAAATTATCTAGATCACCTGTTCTAACATCAGGTACGCAACGTTTAATTAGATTAATCAATACGTTTACCGATTTAGCATTATTCAATATGGCCATACTAGTTGTACGTACAATTAGCTGTGGTTTTTGATCTTGTAACAATTTCACTATAATATTTTGTATTATATTAACAAAATCATCTAGGCCATTTAATTTTGATTTCAAACCAATTAACTGGGTTATACTTGCACATATTATCGTATTGGTACGATTATCCAGTAATATTTGTATAGTTATGCTAGTATAATTATTATGATGATTATTTTTGATAAAATCTATCATGGTCAGTTTGCTAATATCCAACAAATATTGTACTATATCTACACTATAGTAAAGCAATATATTTGTATTATTATTATTAGGAGTAGTAGTAATAAAAAATTTAGCCAGATCCTTTATCATCAAATTAATATCATTGTTAGTTAATAAATTGATTGCTAAATTTTTATAAATTTGTTGATTAGTTGAGCTAGTTGAATTTATTGTTAATAATTTCACTGTTGAATCTTTATAAATTTTCAATAATAATTTAAATTTATCAATATTTAAACCAGGTACTAATGTTTTGGATAATTTAATAAATAAATTTTCAGCATGCTCATTTGATATGATTTTCAACATAATAGTTCTTAGCAATTGTTTTAATTCGATTGTATCCTTGACTAATTCAATGCCAACCAATTGAACCAGATCCATTGTATAGTTTAAAACATTTAATTTTGTAGCTGGTACAAATTTTCTTAGTAATTCAATTAGCATTGAATTTAATTTTTGATCCAGCAGAAATTTTCGTACAATTAGTTTACAAATAATAACCGGATGGTCGCCATTGTTTTTGATAATATTTATCATGGTAAATTTTAGAAAACTACCAATATGTAGCAATTTATCAAAATTTATCATGCTAATTATGGTAGTATTTTGAGCAACAGTATGTACTAGATCGATTACCATTGTGTCTACATACGTATCGTTTAGTATATTTACGCACACGTGTTGTAATATTTGGTCACGTGGTATATTGGTATCATCAATAACTGTTTTGCTTGCTGATTTTAAATATCTAGTTAAATTTTGTAGATAATCCCATCGAGATAATCCAGGTACTAGTTGATTACTTATTGTTGAAATTAACATGTTCATTTTATTATTGGTTACAATTTTAACCATGACATTTTTCCCAATATCTATTAGCTGGATATCATTGTGTAAATATTTTACCATGTTAATTCTGGAAAATTGAATCAACTTGATAAAATCATTGGCTGTAATTGTATGATTAAATTTTATAAAGTGTCTAGATAGTTTTTCTATTAAACGATCGGTACGTTTATCGGATAATATTTTATCACCGATTATTTTCATAATTGTTTCACTGGGAGTATTGTCCAGCACTAGACGAGCGATTAGTTTTATAATATCCAAACCGTAGAATAAATATTTTCGTTTTATATGTAAAAATTTAATTTTAGTAAATTTCTTAGTAATAAAACTGTTATTATTATTAGTAGTAAATTTACTGAAAATTTTACTAAAATATTTATACGTATCCATAACTAATTTATCAGTACGTTTATCATTTAAAATTTTCCGTATCAATAGTTTGGATAATGGTTCCTGATTATTATTATTATTTTCATCATGATGATCATTTAGTAAATTGAGCATGGTAAATTTGCCAATATCTAGTACATAATATATATGATATGGTTGGATAATACCTCCCAGAGTATATTTTCCCACAAATCGGACAACCAATCGATCGGTACGTTTGTCTACTATTAATCGTTTTGTTGCAAATCTAATTAGTGTTGGACTACCGTCACCAGCGGTCAAATAATGTACCATGGTCATTCTTGATATATCCAATACATATTGTATATCAAATAGACGTATGCGCCCGGGTAGGTATTTTTTTTGTCGCAAGTGTTTAGCCAATCGTATCAAACCGGGTACAGATCGGGTACTATTCAAATATTTAACTAACCCATACACTAGTATATCTTCGGGTAATTGGCCAATCAAATATTTGGACATAGACATTTTGCCCAGTCCTACATAATAGGCTAGCTCAGTTACCGTATAATTATAATGTTTGCTATGAGCCAACTGTTGGCTAAGATACATAAGCCCATCATTAGCTACATGTCCCTGAAGTAGTTTACCCAATAGATAGCGAACCAGTTCATCGGATCGGATATCCTGGGACATGGATTTAATACTACCCGATCTGATTAAGTCGACCAACTCATCCGGATATCTATACCCGGGTAGTGTCTGATTGATAGCATACCGGAGCACATCATCGCTGGCGCTACTGTTCAACAAACGTATGGCTAGATAGCGGGCTAACTGGTCGGGTCGTAAACCGGGAAATAGTTCATCAATTAATAGCTGTATTAAATCGGAACCGGGAACTAGACTGGTCAGTGATGATGACATCCTATAACTATTACTACCAGTGCTACTACTACTACTACCGGTGCCAAATGCCGATGAAACTAATAGATTGAAAATTTCTTTCCGGTTTCGGGAATCCATTGCCCGTCTAATAACCGTACGATTATCGTTATCCGGCGGGAAAAATATCGCCTCTAATGGATTATAGTTAGTCGTATCCGATGTATTAGTTGTACTAATCGTCGTATTAAACACCGATAGACACTGACGGGTACTTTTACCGCCACAAATGGCCAGTCGTATACAGTTCAAGGGTTCACCCGTTGCCCCGCATATGAACGTCGATCTGGCGCAATGTCGGGCCCATCGCCAGCCCATACACAATACAAAACGTCCGGCTTGTCGACCGTATTTTCGGGTCAACAGTCGGAAACCGGGATCCCGGAATACCCGATCAAACTCACGGAGTCCACGCAAACCCAGATCCTGAACCAATTGGCCGGCACTGTGGGCTTGTTGTCTGATGTTTAGATCCCATGTCGATGATGATGATGATGACGGTATGGACGTATTTTTTGCATTGGTCCTGTTGTTGTTGTTATTGTTATCTAGGAGATTTAAAAATAATTTTTAAAAAATATTTTTATTTATTTTTAAAAAAAATTCTAATTGTCACGGTTTTATTAGTCTATATTTATATATTTTTTTCATAAATATATAATAATATTAATGTTATTATTTTCAAGTTTACAGTTTGCATAATAATAAATTTTAAATAATAAAATATACATTTAAAAAAGATTAAGTTTATTTAAAAAAAACAAAAATATGTTTTTAATTAAAAATTATATAAATTAATTGTTTTATTTGTTTGATAAATTGGTTTTTTTTAGTATATATTATTTTTATATAATTAAAAATATATATATATAAAATTTTATTATAACATTTTTGAGACTACTTTTTTTATTAAATTTAATTAATAATTTAAATATTAACTATTGGTTATTATATTTTAGTTTACAGTTAGAATACAGTTTACAAATAAATAATTTTTAATATAATAATTAACTTTAATTAAAATTAAAACTAAAAGTTTATACATACTAATTTCATAATGATGTTTATTTTTATTATCAGTATTATTATTATTAGTTTCATTAATAATAATAGTATTATTATTATTATCAATAATATCAACACATATTTTTTCAAATGTTTTATTAGTATTATTATTATTATCACTATTATTAACTTGGTGAAATTCACATTTTTCAATTGCCGAGTACAATTTACATAAATAGTGTAATAAAAATAATAATAATAACATTGACCATTTTGCTATTTTTTGTTAAAAAAAAGTAAAATAATTAATATTAAGAAAATATTTTTTAAATTTTATTTTTATTTATTATATTTAGTTAAATAAATAATTTTTCAATATATATAAATACTTACATTTCATAACTGGCCAATATTATTTTGTTTTAGTATAAATTTTAGTAAAAATTATTTTTATTCAAAAATGCTTGTTGTTTACTAGTTTTATATATAAAATAAATGTAAATATTATTCAGCGCCATATTTAATTACTTAATATTAAATTACTGTTTAATTATTTTTTTTAATAATTTAATTAAATATTGTATATAAAATTTGTATATATGTATTTTATAAAATCTATTTTTCTAAAATTATTTTAAATAAATTTATTTTTTAAATAAAATTACTATAAGTATAAACTATAAAAAATTAGCTAAATTAATTTTTTATAATTTTCAAATAAAATTTTAATCCAAATTTATTATATATACTGTATATAACTAATCATTTACTTATATTTTAACTATCAATAATAATAATATTAAAAATAATAATAAAAATAATATCAATCTTAAATTAATAATTTATTAACTTAAATAAATAAAAAATTGTAATGTAAAGAAATATTTGAAATTATTTAATTTTTGAAATATATTAATTTATGAAATTTTTATCAAAAAAATATACATTTTTTTATATATATATATATATAAACAGTATTTAAAAGCAAATTTTTTTTGTTAGCAATATTTAGCCAATTGCTGCTAAAACTAGTAGATTGAAAATTTCCCGTCTATTTCGTGAATCCATTGCCCGCTGAATAACCGTACGATTATCCTTATCCGACAAAAATATGGCTTCCAATGGATTATAATTAGTCGGATCCAAGATATTAGTTGTACTAACAGTATTGGTAGTGTTAAACACATCCAAACAATGTCGGGTAGTTTTACCCCCACAATAGGCCAGTCGTATACAGTTCAGGGGTTCACCCGCTGCTCCGCATATCAGTGTCGATCGGGCACAATGTCGGGCCCAACGCCAGCCCATACACAGTACAAAACGTACGGCTTGTCGGCCGTATTTTTTTGATAATTTTTTGAAACCCGGATCATCTTTGAATACCCGTTCAAACTCCCGGAGCCCGCGTATAGCCAATAACATTGACGTATTTTTTCCAGTAATGTTGTTATCTATAATATTTATTTTTAATTTTTGTTTAATTTTTTTTTTTAAAATCTAGTATAGGTATTTAGACTATTTTATTTATTTATTTAATTTATTTATTTATTATATATAAAAATATATATTATATATGAAAATATATATTATATATGAAAATATATATTATATATGAAAATATATATTATATATGAAAATATATATTATATATGAAAATATATATAATATATATAAAAATATATATTATCTATAAAAAATATATAATATATAAATATATATATAATATATAAATATATATCATATCTATAAACTATTAGTAATATTAATTTAGTTTTATATTTAGTATTTAAAAAAATAAATAAATTATTGAAAAATATTTGTAATAAAAGTAATTTTTTTGAATTATTATTTTTTTAAATTATAAAAAATTAATTTATACATACTGATATCATAAATTTGGTTAATTTTATTATTATTAGTTTCATTATTATTATTATTAATAATAATGTTATCACCAATAATGTCAACACATAGTTTTGCAAATATTTTATTAGTATTATTATTACATTTTTCAATTGCCCAGTACAATTTACATAAAAATTGTATTATAAATAATATTAACAACACTAACCATTTTGCTATTTAAACAAAAAATTAATTAAATAATTAATATTAACAAAATGTTTTTATATTTATTAAAAATAAATAATTTTTTGAATACATAATACTTACATTTCATAACTGGCTAATTATTTTTTAGTATAAATTTTATTTTTCAATAAAAAAAATTACATTAAAAATGCTTGTTTTTATCATTATTTTATTTAATAAAAAATGTAAATAGTTGTCAGCGCCATATTTAATTACTATTACTATTAAATTACAATTAATATTTTTAAAAAAATGTTTTTTTAATATAAATAAATAATGAATATATAAAGCTTATATAAATTATTTTATAAATTATTTATTTCAAAAATAAATCATACAATTAATTAATTAATATGTTAAACAAAATAATATATAAATATTTTTAATCGCATATTAAAATAATATTTTTAAATAAAAATATATTATATATAGTTATCTATATTTTATTTGATTATTTAATTTGAAATAATGTTAACTATAAAAACTAAATACTAAATATTTGACATCTTATTATTTAGATTTAACAAAAATAATTAAAATATTAACTGGCTATATTATTTTAGTTTACAGTTATCATAACAATATAATTGTAAAATATTGATATAAAAAATATATTATTATTATTATTATTTTAATAGAAAACTAATAATAATATCATTATATAATACATTTATTAAACAGAATATAAATTTAAAAGTTACAAACATAATAATTAAAAAAACAAAAATAACTTTTATTTTTAACTAACTTTAAATTTTATTAAAATATAAAATGAAAATAATAAAAACTTTTTTTTTAAATTTAATCCTAAAACTTATTAATAATTATAAATATTTTTTTTTTGATTTAATTTCTAGTTTTTATTAAATTTATAATTCTATTAATATTTTTTTAAAATAATTTTTTAATGGTTTTTATCAAATTCTTGAATTTTTGAAACAAAAATTAAACATTTTTATTAAAAACATGTTTATTTCCAAACAATCTATTTTATATAGATTTAATTGAAAATCATAAATTTATAAATATAATATTATCTTAATTTACAGCTAGATTAAATTAAAAATTAATATAACATAAATAATAATTAATTAGTTTATTTGACTGTACAAAAATTCAAGTCAATAGTACAATTTAAAATCATATAAAAATTTTAGATATTAACTATCAAAACAATATTTTTAACTAACAATAAACATAGTAAAATATATGATAATATTAATTAAATATTTTAGTTTAATAATTATAATTTATTTAACCTACTTTTAACAAAAATAAAAAATAAATTTAAGTATTTTATGCTAAATCATGTTTTTTCTAACTAAATTAAAAGTATAAATATTTTATTGCATACCATGTTTTAATGTTTGATTTTTTTTTATTTTTCTTTATTTTATTAAAATAAAAATTTATTAATTAAAATCATCCATATAAATGTTTTCAAGTTTTATATTTTAATGTTTTAATAAGTGTACAGATTTTTAAATAGTTTAATAAGTATACAGTTTTTTTTAAACAAATAGTTAATTTATATTTTTATAAATTTCATAATTTTTTTTAATATATATATATATAATTCATGTTTAAATATAAATTAATATAGAATTTTATGTACTGAATAGAAATAATTATTTTAAAAAATATTATTTAAATTATATAATTATTTTTTTTATAAAAATAATTAATAGATAATACTATGAAATCATAAAATAGAAAGTATAATTCTACTATATTATTTTTTCAATAAAAAAAATAAAATATTGATATATTAAAAAAATCAAAATAATATAAAAAAACAATTATCTATTTGATTGGTGTTCAAACAAGTAAAATAGGCAAAAAAATTTAATTAATAAATTATAACTAAATTATTTGTTAAATAGGAAATTTCTATTAATTAAAATAATATTTAAAATGATATATTATAATTGTATAAATAGTGTATATCTATTATTTTAGTTTAAACTTATATTTTATTTATTTATTTTTTAAATATTTAATAGAAAGTTGTTTTAAAAAATAATAATTATAATAATAATTGATTTTTATATTAATCTTTTACAATTATATTAATTTAAATTAATTAATTGCTAACTGTAAACTATGTTAATATTACTAAATTAAATATTTATTTTTAAATAGTATTATAGTTAAAAGTTTTGGCGACAAAAAGTAAAAATAAATATATTTTTAAATACAAATAAATTATAAATTAAAACTAAATTATAGTTAGTTATTACTGTTAGATATTTATATTAATAATATTTTTTTAAAAATTATTTTTAATACTGTCCTCATTTTAATCAATAGATTATTTATTGTTGTCAAATAAACAAAATAAATTTTAAAAAAAATTGTAATAATAACCATTTATATAATTAATGTATATATATATCATATATAATTAATGAATATATATTAAAACTAAACAATATTTTTATTAATTTAGTGATTTGAAAATAATAGTTTTATGTTAAAAAAAAATTGGCAATTTATCAATTTGCTTAATCTAAAAACTCTTAAATTAAAATCATAAGTTTTAACTAAACTTTTTATATTTTATTAGTTTACAGTTTGTAGAAAATTAAATTAGAAGTCAAACATTAAATAATTACAAAAAAAAATAAATAAATAAATTGTTATTATCTATAAGATGTTTTTAGTATTATATAAATTATTTATTTATTTAAATAAAAATATATAAATATTTAAAAATGAAACTGTTTCACTAAATTAATAATTTGAAAAATTAAACATATAAATTAATAATATTATTTTAGTTTACAGTTTGCAAATCAAATAAATAATTGTAAAATTAATAAAATTAATTTTAAAAACTAATCAAATAATTCAATTCAATTTATACATACTATTTTGTTAATATTTATAATTATTATTAACTAAAAAACAATTTTCAAATATAACAATTATCTTTTAAATAAATCTAAAAATAAATTAAGTTTAAAAGCAGATTAATAGTAAAAAAAACTGTATATTTATTAAATAAAATAACATAAAATCAATATTTATTTTTATTTGAATTAAATTTAGGTATTAAATAAAAGGCTTATTAATTTATTAATAATTTAGTAATACAAAAAAATAGTCTATTTTTAATTAGTAAATTTGAGTTATTAATTAAATATTATTTTTTTAAACTATATAATTATTAAATAAAATAATAAAAAATTAGCTATCTATGTATATAGAATTATATTTTAGCATAGAGTATTAATAAAATTGTTTTAGCTAATTTTTATTTAATATAAATTTATGATTGAAAAAAAATATTTTTATATCTTAAAAATTTTAATAAAAATTAAAAATTCTATTTGATTTATATGGAAAACTTTCAATCATTTCTAATCTAATATTACAAAATACTAAAAATTTATTTAAAATAAAACTAATATTTTACTATAAACTAACAGTTTAGTTGACTAAATAATATTAACAAAAAAAATTAATTAAATAAAAGTTAAAAAATTGATAATTATTATTAAATTAAATAAGAATTATAATATAGATTATATAGTTTAAATCATTAATATAAAAATTAATAATAATAAAAATTAAACTATAAATTAATTTTAAAAAACTGTATAATTTATTAAAATAAAAAAAATAATATTAATTATTAGTAATAACAAATTATATATAGCTAAAATTGAAAAAAGCATTATTATGCAAAAATATATAATAAATTTTATAAATTTTATTTTAATATTTAAAAAATTAAACTAAAAAAAATTATTTTTAAAATTAGGATTAAAATAGAATATTTATTTTTTCTTAAAACTTTATTTTAGAAAACGTTTAAAAAAAGATTACAACTTTAAATTTTACTTAATTAATTTATAAAACAAACAAAATTACTTATTTAAATTATTAGCTTTGATTAAAAAAATAACACAAAAATTCTAAGTAAAATAAAATGAAATTTTTACAAAAACATAAACTTATTTTATATGAATGACATCAACAAAATCAATAATTGACCGCAAGTATAGATATATTGAAAAAATTGTAAACTATTTATTGGAAACAAATCCAAACAATAGATACCAATTGTCGGACCAATTGATAGACGTTCCGCATATATAAGCAATTTTAGTCTCATATGTATTGATAGTGTTGTTGTTGTCGGATGTTTAGCTAAATAACTATACAATAGTTTATGGGGTAAATGTGCCGATCGGCTGATCCATGTATTCATTATAAATATAGAATATGCTATAACTAATAAAAATAATAAAAATAAAACAAATATAATTTTGCCAATAAATGTTGAATCAATATGAAACGTGCCATAGATTACCAATAATATAGAGGGAGTCGATATATAATACATAATAAATATTATATATGAAAAATAATGATTAAATTGTTTAACAATTTTCGAAAAATTATTATGTAATACAATAAAATTTATAAATAATTTATTGCAATATGTTTGTTGTTGTTGTTTTTGTAATTTATTAGATTTAATTGATAAATATTTTAAATCATTGAAAATTTCCAAATATTTCAATCGACTATAGTCTGCAAATGCATACCATAGACAAAAACCCATATATAAACTACTTGTTATTTTTGATAATACTAACAATAATAGTAAATTAATTATTAAAAATTTTAATATCCACCAATAGCTACTAGTAGTATAAAAATCGCTAATCAATGCTAGATAATAAGCATATAATTCAACTAGGCTAATTGTTAGGGTAGTGAAATAAATTTCAATGTTTATCAATTTGGCCATTAAATTGCATTTATAGGTTATTTGTTTCAATTGAACTAAATTAGTTAATTGATATTCAAAACTATTG